GTTCCAATCCACAAACCGGGGAAGAGGAGATAGGCAACGATAGCGATTCTAAAAGAAAAAGAACCAAAAAACCCAGAAAAATAATGGCCACCTCCAAGTCGAGGGATCCAGAGTGAGGAAAGGCAAAAGAAAGAGAAAGAGGCAGAAGGAAGCATACCTAGGCAGGGAAAAGAGTAATAAACAGCAGCCAAAGAACAAAATTGAAGGAGAAGAGCAAAGCAGGACTTCGAGTCCAACCCAGAAAGCACAGTTTTGAGCAGAGAATAAGAGAATCGCGTGGAGGAAAGCCCAAAAATCGCAGAAAAAAAGAGTCGGAGACAAAGGTGAATAGCGTAAAAGATGAACAGGGAGTTTTGAGCGATTTTTTGAGCAGTCGATTGAGCATTTAAAGCTTGAGTGATGTGGACTGAAACATGCAGGGGAATCGAGGAAACCATGATTGTTGTAAACCGTCAAAGAGCCCCCCACGTGCATCTTACACGCAGACTAAGGTCAGCTAGGTGCAGGCCTGGTCCAATGCGAAAACAGCTCAGCCCATGCCCAAGCTCACTTGGGCCAAGGGATGGGGGACAACTGATGATGCCTAAAGTAAATCTCAAGTGTTAGCTCAAGAGTTCAGCTCAGACCGGGAGGTCAGCCATATTAACTAAGGTCAGAAGGCAAGGGCTGAATGTCTCTTGAAGCAAGGCAATGGCTGGATAACCACGAGAGGTTCCTAAAGCGTTTGGCAGCTATAATCAAGGCACCTAATCTTAACCAACTAAGATCTTCTCCTAGAATTAAGAAGAACCCCACAAAATAAGGGCAAGAATCTTGGCCAAGATTCCACTGAATAAGGAACAGCCCTATAAATACTATGTAACGCCCCCAAGGAAAGGGGGAGGACCCTAAAGGCAAAAATTAGTCATTGTACTCTTGTAATTATCATTATTGAAAGGCACGGAGCAAGAGTCTCCATTAAAAAGTGGATTAATCGAGCTCCCGAGCTGGTGAACCACTATACTTCTTCTATGTTAATCCTCTCAACCCCTAGAAAAATATTTCTTTCATTGTCACACCACCATCAGTGCAAAGCATAATTACGATTCATTACTCATACAATTCGATTTACACTATCAAGTAAGATTAAAAGCAGACTTATCTCCAAATAAGTTTCCTTGATGGACTAAACTCATTATAAGTCCATTGAGGGAGACTTAGCCCCAATTTTCACTATAAAATTATAAACCATGACAAAACAAATACTGCTGGATCTTTATATTTCTTGTTAGGTCAGTAATAAACTTTTTTTTTCCCGGAAAAATAGGTCTCTAATAAACACACTTCCAACGTTTATCCTATTCAATGTGGGTCTTCGCACGTGACTTCCCAACAAATAAGTTACAACAATTATGGTCAATGTATAGTGGTTACAAGCTGATGAAGACCCTAGAAAACTAGAAAAGTCATTCTATGAAAATCGAAAATTGAAGATCAGAGAAGTAAGAGCTCAGACTTTTGAACTACTGCGAAATTGAGCCAGCAGTTTGAGGATTACTAAGTAGGCCTGAGGGAGAGCGAAGCCAGATGATAAATAAAAAGACTGCATCTTCAAAAAGATGGATGGAGGTGAGGGATTCCCTTAAACATATTTGTCATTCCATAGGTTAATTTCTTTCTCCCCTTATTTCAATGCCTCGTAGAACAATTAAGCCCGTATTAGCTATACTCGGATATGATTTAAAGTTTACACATCACTTTTACTGTTTGTCGTTTAATGGAATGAATGGGATCCATGAATTAACGAGACGATGAATTCCCCCCTATGTCCAAATACTTTAAACTTCGCTTTGAAAGAAAATGTTAGTGCCAACAATACTTTCTGGTTAACGTAGTTGATTGAAAAAGCTTCTATGTCTGACAATGCCACGCCATTTGGTTTGTTGTATTTGTATGAATATAATCACTCACAATTGATAGGAGATTATTTAGTAAGTGTTATAGTGGGTGTAGTTTTAGTGAATTGTTTCCCTAGGTATCTAGATATAGCAGGGTTATAAGTTGTGCTAGTAGTATTTTTAGTTATTTTCATTTTGTATTTGAAGATTAAAATGTCATGTTACATATGTAATTAACTTTCCTATAAAGGTCGCTTTCTTCCCTCTCTCTCCGCTAATCCAATTAACAGATTGCGTATCCTCTCTCTCTCTCTCTCTCTCTCTCTAGATGGACAAGAAGAAGGGAAAAGATAGTGATGGTTCAACCTCATTCACTCAACCAACGAGGAATTTGGGCTTTTTCCATTGGTTTACTATGTTTTTCACCTTCTTGGTGTTAGTGATGTGATGTGGTGTGGTGCATGCTGACGTTTGGCACACCTGATCTCTTTCGATGGCGCATAGCTGGCCACGTCAGCCCTTGCTGTGAATGGGAAGCCCTACGTCATGCCATGCATTCTCTACTACGGCCTTCTCCTGTTAGGCTTAGGTATGTGAGTCTCTTTCAACGAGAGACAGATGAAATACCTCACTAGTTCTATGCACACAGTAAGAATCCCAAAAATTATTTTTACAATTTATTTAAATTAATAAGTTCAAAGTTTTCCCCTCTCTTTCAAATCGATAAGCATTGTATTCCAATCAGTGCGAAAAATCTTTGATTTTGTCGAATGTACAGAAAATTGGAGTTAGCATTCTGCTGATTTCAAGTCATAAAATTCTGGCCGTCAATTTTTGACACAACACGTTGACACAATACGAATCGAACACGAAATTAATGGGTCTGACATAAAATAAACAAGTTAATAGATTAAAACGGGTCAACACGCTTAAACACAAAAAGAAATCATGTCGGGTTCATATCAAAATTAGGTCATCCCGATTTTGACCTAATTAACCTGTATATTTTAAACGGGTTAACATGATTATGACACAAACCCGACCTAACTCATTGTAGACCTATTTAACCCGTTTATAACAGTTTACCTTACCTATTATATATGACTAATGTGGTCTTAACATTATTACTTATTAGTTTTTACTTCTACTATAATAATTTGTAGTATAATTCTTGTTTTAATTTTTAGGTTGAAATTTAAATGCATTTTAGTTAATATCATTGATGAAATATGATGTTATTTGTAAAAAAATTATTTGAAATTTTGGATAAATGATTGAATGATGTATTTAAAGGTAATAAAGTGGTGTGAAAACATATTATGTGTGTTAAACAAGTCTATGTTATATATGTTAAACAAGTTAAACAGACAATGTTATGTGTATAAACTCAAAAACGATATGTTTATTAAACGTGTCAAATAGGTCGAATTCGAGTAACTTGTTTAATGACCAGGTCAGGTTAGTATTTACACGTCTCAATAAAATATTCAAATATGATATGTTTGAGTTTTGAAATTTCTAACACAAACTTAAAATTAACCCAACAAAAAATGACCTAACCTCTGACACGTTTGACAACCCTACATAAAATAGTTCAATGTTATTTGGAGAGAGAGAGAGAGAGAGAGAGAGACCCCAGACGAAGAGTGTTTAGCAAGAGAACATTGGGAGAAAAGAAGAGTGCATGACGAGTAAGTGATTTTAATGAATAAACATGTTGACTAGTATAATAAAATTCCAAATATCGAACTTCACTTGGGTATGATATGTTATCAAAACCATCAAACTTTTATACTAAAAGAATCTATTGGAGCAGATCTTGTTTGAAACCCTTCCTAACATAATTTTTCTCAATTTTTCTTAGCATTATATTACCCGTCGAAAAAGTAATCTCCAATAGTAGTGACCTATCATTAACAAAAATTATAGTAGGAAGGATCGAGGTCTTTTTCAGTATCTTCTAGGCTGCTGTTTCATAACAGTAGTCAAACATGAAAAATTATGTGCCAAGGATTTGGGGGAAAAACAACACAATCTGAGCATTTACACTTGGTCAACAGTGGGAATTTAGGACAAAGTCCATGAGAGACGTCAACATCCATAGCGTGGCACTGAAAAATGGAACCAGGCCCCCCCTCCCCCCAAAGCACCTCAGCAAGTGTATGCATAATTTCAATAATTGCAGGAAAAAAGAGAAAAAGAAGAATGGTCACAAAAAAGTTTCACTATTCATGCACTGAAATTCTGCTAAATGCATCAAAATGCCTTTAATCTATGAACATTTCTCGACCACACTAAAGACCTCCTCCAACGGCTTTAATGTTTCCCACTACCTCAATTTGTTCAATTATGTCCTAATTCCTACAACTACTCAAATGCTTCCCCTCAAACTGCTTGTTCCAACGTAAATGTACTAATTTGTGTGTGTGTGTGCATTTCCCAAAGAATCATTTTATCAAATATACCCCAGGTGATTACACCCAACATCATTCACTCCTTTTCCAAATCAAACAAATCTACACAATCTATTTTCAAAACCATCGACCAACAGTACAATTCTAAGTACACATTATTGAACCAAACAAGACACAACACCAACAAAACCAAGTCTTTTATCCCTCATCAGTGACCCAAGAGAATACACCAAAAGCAACAGAAACCAGCAACATCAGAACTGAAAGAATAACAACATGTGGTCTGCATGGTACTGAGAGTAACCATAGAAATAGCAATAGCAGGAAGGCCTCACGTCTCAGTAGCATATGTATGAAGCAGATTTGGCCAGCAACACACCTTATGTTAGATAAAGGCATTACCGTATCAAGATAAATTTCAAATGCAGAGGACAACCCTTGAGAACAGTCATCCTTAACATTTAGAATCACTTTAAGATGTGACCTAGTATTGACCTGCAAATTATTCCAAAACATGATATGCCATGAACTACTGTGGTCAAGCATATTTCATTTGCATAAAAATCAACTGCTGCTACACCACACAATGATCTGGCCCGAAATTAGCACCAAATCTACTAGTTCATATTTTAGTCTGCACCATATTCATGGCACATTGGTTGGCAGCCCAAAGAATAGGCCAGGGATGCAACAAATAGTATGCCACACATCAAGAAAGAGTTCGCTTGTTGAAAGACTCCACAGTCAAATTGGCAGTAAAAGCTGGAATTGAATTCATCTTCCGAATGAATATATCAACCTGCAATTACATGCCCCAATGACATTTTGAAGTCAAAATTGCAATTAGGACTCTATCGTAGCCACATAAAAATGTAGACAATGCTCAAAACACTACTCAAGAAGGCACAAAACAACTTGATATAGTACTCAACACCAATGTTGTCAAAACGTGTCGGAAGACGTATCGTTTTTCAAAAACAATGTATCAGGTATTATAACGTATCGTGTATCATAAGATACGTGCAATTTCATAAAATATATTAAAAAATACATATACCTATGATAAAATGTCAAAATAACATTTCATTGTACCACAAATTTCTCAAATAAAACAATTTAAAGAGACTACAAATACCAAAACAAAAAATTAACAATCTATATACTAAAATTTCTAACATAATTCATCAATATCAAAAGTTAAATTCAATTAGAGAGTTCTACTTCTAACATCTAAAATAGCCAGAGGAGGACACTTTTAACGATCAGACTATCTACTCCTACGATAGAACAAATAAAAAAGAGGACTTTTATTTTTTAAAACTATAGATAGTGAAATAACATTGTTTCATTATCTAGTGTTTGAAAGAATTGCTTCCAAGTGTAAAAGCATCGTTTTCTGGTTAAAATTTAAAGAAATGTTTTTTACCTATTTCGCTCAATATCGACGACTCATACATATAGTCTTGTATCAGGTGTATCGCATCGTATATTGCACGATACAATGCAAACTAATACGCGTATCGTACAATACCAACAAATATGCCCGTCAGCCCATAAAATCTGATATTTGCTTGAAATTGCATTATTATCTTAATTTTGATTGACAATATCTCATTTCTTTTATGGGTGTTTCCCCACTTATAGAGACGTGTTTTATCCACCAGCTAGATGTACACATTTTTCTGATAAAAAAGCTATATTTATGTGCTTTGATATGAGTTTCATTGTCTCATTGACTTTCATTCCAGATGGTAAGCATTTTTCTTGTCATTGATTGATCGGTTTCGTTCATTTTCATTGAAGTTAGCAATATATTGCTTCATTTATGGTTGAACATGCATATTAGTGAATAGGTTGTAATAGGATGCTAGATTTATAGATTACTAGAAGTCACATTTTAAGAGATATTTCTGGAAAGACCTAGCACTAAAAATTGTTATAGGAAGAAGTAAAAACATAAACGGTAAATTTCACACGGATATTGACATTTGAAAGTGTTAACTGGGCGCCCCCTCTATCTATCAGACATTAAAAAACTAACAAAAACGATGACATTTAAATATTTTCCAAGTTACCCCTGTGTCGTAAAATTAGAACTTATGATATAAGATCACCCAAGAACTAATAGATTGATTATGAAATTATTTTGGCAATGAATCACCATATTACACACATACACTAAGAGAATATTCTCGTTGGATCATGGATCAGTATGTAGGCCAAACATGGAGCCAGTTTGGTTTTATGCAGGGGCGGAGCTAGAACTTTTGTGCAATAGAAGCAACCTCTAAATCATTGTTAAATTAAAATCATAATGTTAACAATATTTAATTCTATTGCAAATACAGTGATCCATCAATATTTATTTTTAAACTTAGGGTGTGAACATTCAAATTATAGCTTTAAAATTAGATTTTCATGTTCATGTTTAATTCATATTTGAGACAGGTAGGTTATGTTTAAAAAGAAAGTAGTGATATTGAAGCGTATGGAAGAAATGTATGCTTGATTGTTTAATTTATGAAAGAATCCCATTTATTTACTAAATAAAAGAATAATACTTGTTGAACTTAAAATTTTGATTTAATTTGATAACCTAATGATATGGAGGCTAATATGGTCCAATAATATTATTCTAATTGCAACTCGTGCACTTGTTCATTGGAACAAAATCACTTGATACATAATTAGGTCTAGAAATTAAACCAATTTTTTAGATACCAGAAACATCATTCAAGTATAAAAATATTCATAAATTTTTTTATTAGCTTTTTAGTGGGGATTAAATAATAAAAAAATTAAAAATTTAAATGAACCCAAAAAAGATTTGGATTGCACTGGGGCATTTCCCCCGCCCCCACCCAAAAAAAAAAAAACTGCCCCTTTTTTAAGTGTTACAGAATCAAATAAAGGGTTAAATAGCCTTTTTTGTCGAAATCTTAAATCATCTAAAGGGGTCTTATTGTCGTTTTTAAAATGTGAAAGGGTGCCCGTATAATAAAACCAAATGTCACAAGGTACCAGTGAAATTTCTCCAAACAAAAGCAACTTGAAGAGTTTGTTGTCACATATACATTAGAGTATTACCCACAATGATGGTAGTTTTATATGCCATTATATTCTCTTCATTAGGCTCTGGAATATAGCCTGAAGGAAGGTTTTGATCATTTTTTTTCATTCCCATTCAGAATTGTACAATCACGATCCATAAATTTGAACCCTAATATTTCCTGTCCCACTACCAAATACATAAGCTTCTAAAAGTATGTTCATTCTATCAATCTATCAAATCCGTTAATCTACTGGTTGGTCAAAAATCTTTCTATATGTTTTCCTTATTTGCTGGATTGAAGAAAAGCAATGATTTATGAGCATTAAAATATAAGCACTGTTGCGGATATCATAATTCTTACCTGATGTGATATCTCAGGCTGTGAAGTGTAATCGTTGGCCTAATAGAGCCAAAAAGAAAATTAGTTAATAAGGACAATTAAACATGGATTTGAAAAGAAATTTTGAGAAAGATATGGCAGGGCAATAGTCATTACAGAGATTGAATGACTCTGTGCATAAAAGGGAGCATTTTAGTTTACGTCTTATGTAAAACAAAAGACAACTGAAAGATGTTAAATTATTTTGATAGACATTGTAAAAACACCCTCTTAATATATGACTGAATCCAACAAGACATCTTACCAAAATGTTTGTATTCCCAGATTCATACTCAAATTCAAGCTTCTCATCATCACTTTGCGCATAAATAGATTGAAGGGTAAAACGTGTAACAGGAATTCCATCTGAACGGTGGTGATCATCCATTACAATCTGCCAGGCATTGTGATTACAATGAGAACTTTTAACTTCGAAAATTTTCAAAGTTGCTAAAAAGTTCTATCTAAACAGACTCATTAATTTAAAAAAAAAAAGAGTGCATCAGAATGTACTCATGGGATACATCTTGCGGTATTCTAGGGCGCCCGATGCACATGCCACTTATCACATTGTCTATCTAATATACCACGAAATGCAAGAATGAATGCTTGATAAATCAACAGCATAGATTCAAAATGCAACAATAGGACATGAAGGGTCCATTTTGCTCGGTTTTGAAATTAATGTACAATACCATCTCTCATGCTGAAAGAAAGAAGAAGAGCAAAGCTTTGAGAAGACATCATTTAGTCAATAAACAAGATTTGACAAACGAAGCCACCCATATTTAAAAAACAAAAAAAGGAACTCTTACAAAAGAGGTGCGATGTAAGCCAAGTGCTAAAAAGACATTCACATATATTGCCCTACGAGTGTTCTAACACCAAGCTTATGTATGAAAGCACTAAAACCATTCGAACAACACTCCCTACGATTAAATATATGGTGGACAATAGACATGAAAACATGGAGGATTAGACATGTAAATAGTAAATACTAATAAAGAAACTGAGAATTTTTAGAGGGTATAGGGCTGGAATTTGTTTGATGTTAAAGGTAATTCATTTCTGGATTTTCAGAAATCACATGAACCATTAAGTAACAACATTCTGCATCCTCTATGTTAAATTGAAGGCTAAAAGGGTATCTTTTTTCATAGGGTTAGATTACTTTCATAAAGGCTTCTAGTATTGCTTTATATTATTAATTTTTATACAAAATCCCTATATTTGTTGCTAAATGATTAGAGAGGATGGCAAGGAATTTTCTTTGGTTGGAATGGCAAATGATAAGAGAGATCGTGTTGTGAATGGGGAGTGTGCAAAAGAGGTACGAAACTTGGTAATTGGGCGTTTAAAAATATTTCCCTAGCAAGTGGTAATATTAAGGGCACCACTGATTCAGTGGTTAAAATTCGGCTCACTAACCTTGAGGTTGTGGGTTCGACCCTGAAAACAGCCACATCAAATATTAGATCTACAACCTGTCTGTTCCTCCTAAACCCCCATTAATGAGGACTAAATGTGGTGTTATTATAGGAAAATGCTTTTGGTGATTTCCATTAATTCCATAGCACAAAGCAATGAAGAGTAAGTACAGAGTTCAGCAAAATGAGTGGAATGCAACATCAGGGCATATTTTAACTCATACGAGTCTTTGAAATCTTTTTAACAGGTACATCAATTATAAGTTTGGGGATGAACTAAAATTCCATTTTGGGATGATAATTCACATCAGTGCTTTTTTGAGGTCTCTATCATATTTCTTCCCTCCAGAAGCCTCTCTTATTTTTAGTTTTCTTTTGTTATGGGAGATTCTTATTTTGGCAGCTTCAATTGTTTTAGGTGTCTAAGACAAGCAAACAATTTAGCTTCTTTGTTTGTTAACATTCATAATTTCCATCCCACTTCACATGATTGTAACCTTTGGATTGTGAGGAAATGGATAAATTTTCTTGGACATCTGTTTATTCTTATCCTATAAGCTCCCAAAATGTTCACTTTTTTCTTAGACAAATACATTTGAAAAGCAAAAAAATCACCTCAAAAGTCAAGGCTTTTGTGGGGTTTATTGTATGAGCAGTGGGGAGTCAAATGCTTATCTATTCATTCACTGTTATTTTGTACGAGGTCTGTGAAATAACTTGTTTAATGGGATCGGTGCGGCTTAGGTTTGTCCTTTTATAGTGGAAAAGTTATTGTATAATAAGTTATAAGATTTTGGACCGCAAAGGTTTGTATCCAGTTTTTAAAAAACAGAAAACAAAATGTCAAAATTTCAAAAAACACTAATAACATATTTTCACCAGCTTTGAGATAGTTTTTAAAAATATTGAAAACAAGGGACGTAATCTACTGCACACTTAAATCCATCATTTAAAAAGAAAAAAAAATTCCCTCTTGTCCGTGTCTTTCATTCAACTTTCAAGCAAGTCCAATCGATCCTTTCAAACCCCACAGTCTGGTCCAAAACTCTAGCCCTTCAAGTGGCACAAGCCGCATGAGAAAAGGGTCGATCGACTTCTAACAAGTTCGTGAAGAATGCTCTATCCATGTGCTTTATGCTTTCTCGCCAATTGATTTTGCATATTTTCTTGAATTTGGCTCTCTCCTTATATCTAACCCAATATAACTAGAAATTTGAAATCTATGTTGTTGACTTTGTTTTGTCGTTCTTAAAAGTGAGGGGAAGAATGACATATTGTTGTCTTCAATTTTTGAAGTTAATTTTTTGTTAGCTCATGGCTGAGATTTGTCCATGGGCATTCATCACTAACCTTTTATCCTTGGGTTTTATTTATTTATTTTTTTTTTTGGAAATATCGTGGGTTAATTTCTAGTATCAAGTAATGCAATGTTGAAAGTTCAATGAGTAAATCTTGTTCGTCCACATGTTGTATAATACTGGTCCAGAAAGAAAACCATGATAACACACTCCACCCCCACTCTCACCCTTATCCTTTTTTTCAAAAGATTTTTAACAAAGAGTTAATTCAAATTATATCCCCTATTTTTATTATTTTTTGGATCACTATCCAAACATGTTTTACTATTTTTTGTCTTTTAAAACTGTTTTCAACATCACATAACTAAACATGTTTTGGGATACAAAAAAATCAAAATACAAGTTATTTGGAATTGGGCACCCGTAGTAGTTCTTTCATGTATTTGACGAAAAACGAAGAATTTTCCAAGATCGTTCTCTCCCATTGGACTAGATTTGGGATAGAATTGGGTTCCTTTCATCTCTATGTATCATATCCATAGGGAATTACAAAGGGGTGCCTTTCTCAAATATTCAATGACATCGAAAGACAATTCTATATTAGTTTTCCATTTCTTTTTTTTTCTTTCATTTTATGTTATTCTCTGAATAACAAAAAAAAAAAAACAAGAAACATAAACCAGATATTTTTTTCTCTACTTGCAGCCAATAGTTTAGAGGTTAAAATTCAACCCAATAACCTGGAGGTTGTGGGTTCGAATATAAAGGCAACCATTTTTTTGTAAATAATGCCAAAAGATAGATTGTTCCCCAGTCTACCAACACAGCCAAATGGATAAGAATGCACTTGCAATGGTGTCATACCATTCAAGAACCAACATATAGTAGTAAGAAGTTATACATGATACCTTGTAACCGAAAAGTTCACAGCATGCCCTTCTGAACACCGAGATTCTATCTGCAAAAACTGTCTTGTATCTGTTCACCAGTATATTTGCAAATTTAAGTTTTGATATCATATACAATCAGATAGTAGTAAGCACTAAGGAAATTCTACCAATTACTCACCTTTCCTCTCGTTTTTCAAGTGTCGCAATTTGCTCTTTCAACTGCATAATCTTTCCAGAGATGTAGGAGTCTACCAGTGTGCCAGCATCAGCTGAATAGATCACAAAATACCCAATCAGAGCATGAAAGTCACTGGTAGCCAAGTATTTACAAGGCAACAACATTATGATTGACGAAGTAAAAAAGCACAAAAGGGTATGGAAAACAAAAGAAAGTGAAAAACAACTCAGTTGTTTTGTGTCCGTGTATCAACTGCATTCACCTTAAGAAGCCTTTGGTCAACTGTTTTTGACTACCTTCTTAAATCCTCTTATATTATACCGACCTAACACTTCAATTTTTCACACAAAACTCAAAACTGACATTGGCAAGGAAACAAACAGCGTCAAATAGTTTTTGAAGAGTATATACACCTATTTTTGTTAAATGTTTAGAATCAATGTGATTCTGAATAAGCAAATAGTCAAATACTAGATCCAGAAAAATTAAAACCTGCTAGAGGGAACATATGAAATTTTACTTTAAAACATGATTATCCTGACCAAACTGGATATTTATTTGCCTTCACTTTACAACTTCTTGTTCTTCTTGCAATGAACACTAAATCTTATTGGCCTGCTGTGGGTTAGCTAAGTCTCCAGACCCTTTTGGACAACAAATTTATCGACTCACATGATGACAATGCTTTTATAATGCCCCCAACACCAAGCTTCTCAAAATTTTCGAGGAAGTAATAGTTCAAGGACTTTTTAATATAACAAAGTTGAGAGACATAAAAATTAAGTCTATCGAATCAAGAACTAATCCATCTGCATACAAAAGGTTCTCAATGACAAAAAGCCGATGCATCAGATAAAAAGAAAATAAGCACACACCCATATTTCTCGCAACGAAAGACATGAAAACAAGCATTAATCTGGAGTCTGTGTACATATATTCATCTCAATATATTTCTTCTAGAAAATCTTTTTTTTTTTCCCATCGAAATGAGCAATGCAATAACCATTAAAAAAACCACTCCAGCATAGAACATAAATGTGCTATAAGATATCTGGCCGCTATTTCTCACCACATGATTCCTATAGTTTCCAGAAATCTAGTTAGCTGAAAAACACATGTGGAATTACGGTGTTCAACTTCATTGCTTTTCTCTTAACTTAAGCAATCATCACTCTATGCAGTGATAAGCTCGAGTGTCAAGCTTCAAAACGTAGGTAAGCGTCAGAGTACAACAAAGCAATAGATCAGCTCTCCAGAATCAATAACCCAGTGGACTAGGGTGGGCACATGCCCACTCTCAATTCTTTTTTCTTGACATTAAAATGTGTCTACCCTATTATTGTGTTCTTATAATATCAATAAGGATAGACCCCTACCTACGTGATTATTAACTTTTGAATGCTATTGGATCCTAATTTTAGGACTTAACATGTTGTGACATTAAGCCTAATAGTCAGTCCCAAATCCCAATGTTTAATAAAGTCCACTAATTAGTTCCCTGCCAATTAAATCACTAATCAGTTACAACTAACATTATTCTTAACTTTTAGGCACATTTCGAACATATCAGAATAAGTTTTGAACATATTAGGGTCATTTCATAATTTTTTTAAAATTGTAAGGTTATTTTGTTATTGTATAAAAATGAGGGTCATTATGTAATAAACTACGGGGTCATAAATGAAAGATTGTTGTCATACTTTTATATATAGACAAAAAAATTTGTTGATAACATTGATTTGTAACACTTTCAAATGATAAAATCTTATCATGGTCAATTGTAAATTACAATAATCAACATCATTCTTGGTAAGAAGTTATAATTATTATTATTATTTTGTTTGTACTGGCTACGTATATCAGTTTTTAACCTCTTACGTTTACCAAACTTCAAAGTATTAAATATGATTGCAATAAATTTGAATTTATGTACTTCTGCTATCAATTAGAAACAAAATTGATACTTATTAACGTGCCCACCGTACAACATTTTCGTGGCTCCGCCCTTTTTTGCAACAATGACTAAAACGATAAGCCACATCGTGCTTCAGATGGAACGAAAAATTGGAAATGGATGCAACAAGATCAAAAAAAGCTCACGATACCTGACTGCTTTTTCAACTCTTCAACCGCTTGCAATTTCTCTTTTGTCTTCCGCAACTCGGTTTGCAATGCCTCTATTGTTTGTTTTGCCTCATCGTCAACTGCTAGGGTATTCACCATTCGCAGAACTTTTGTACCTGCTGATGAAAAATCACCATGCCCCAACTGCCAAAATACAACGTTATTGCAGTCTCATACTACACTTGGCAAGAAAATATATAATAATAAACCTAAAAAGAATCTTCACCCTACTAGCTTCTAGGAATTGTAACTACTGATGTCACTAACATGCTACTTGGTACTTTTTCATCATGTGTTTTCTTTATCTACAATATGCACATGTTTTGCATGTTTTAATCATTTAGCAACATACATCGTAATCAAATGAAACAACATAATAAGAACATCATCAACCATAATAATTTGTGTTAGAATAAAACAATAACAAATGTTTAGTAAAATCAGCATTTGGCCGTTGTTTGTACACTAGTTTCTCAATACTATCACGAAATGATTTGGAGCATGATACTGTCCAAGATAACTCCACTGGATCCTAGACAACCATTATGGTGATCAGAATATACAAAAACAAAAAAGGATTGACACATGTCCTTTTCTTGAACAGTTGTTACTTGTTACATGTCATTTTGATTCTATAGTATAATGAGAACCATTTGTTATAATGGAAATATAGCTTGATGTGCCTCCCAACATAGCCTGAAACTCATAAATACGCATGTTGAAACTCTCAAATTTCAGGAAAGTGTTATATGTCATTAAGAAGAATAGGAAATAATGAATTAAAGAATTTTATTTTTTGGAACCTTCTAAACTAATGGAGGTCTAATATCCATATGCCCCAAAAAATATTGTAAACTCAACTACTTTCCAAATCTCAATGTACATGCTTGACAACAAGAAGCAGTGGAGCGTCCAATATCGCAATTGAATACTACAATGCACGTTTTAAAAACTGAAAGGGGAGGCTCAAATAAAGGGTTCTCCTTGTATATACACAAAAGAAATTAAGCAAAACAAGTAACTTCACATGGGAGTCAGCATTTACCAAAAAAATAATGGTTTTAGAAGTGCTTCAGGAAATCATTCGCTTCTAAAGAAGGGAAAAGCATATTTAGGATAGAAAAGTACTTTTGTTAATAGCTATGGTTAGAAATTAATAGACCGCATGCTCCGCGAATGATTGAGCAGATGCATCGGCCAAGTTGGGAGCTTCCATGAAGGAATAAGGTAAGGGGCACTTTGACCCACCTTAAGAGACCTTTCAGTTGTAGTGAAGCAAGAGTTGGACAGTGTTTTCTGTCTCATTTATTTCAATTGTGTCACATTGGTGGGCATAAACTTCTGTTGTTTAAGGCGATGTCCATGGGAAACTAACTTGAAGTACTTCCAAGAGACCAAAGTGAATGCTATCAAGACCATCAAACACTGGATTGACACAATAAGTCAAGAACTCGCTAAAACTATGTCAAGACAACTTCAAATAACAGCATTATTGCCAGTATATGTGCAATAAAACAGATTGGGACTACCATCAAGCATCTTTGTCAAGAGAGGTAGGGATGTTTCAAGAATGAGGAGAATTTTTATTCGCGCATGATATTTCTTGTATACACTGACGCACACATATATGAGAGTGAATTCTGCCCATGTTTGACTGACCTCTCAGGTTCCCTGATTATTCTTGTCTCTCTCTTCTATTGTAACCGTTCAGACATTCCTATCCAAAACCATGTACTGTCAGTGTCAAGATTGGATTTCTTATCCAATCTCTCTTGATGCAGTGTCAAGATTGGGACACCCCATCCAAAGTGTCCCAATACAAGATGGGAGAAAAAAAACAACTTCAACCATTGGAATTATGAAATATAATGCAAGTTTACTTCAATTGTTTCTGTACACGTCATGGTTAACAGTAACAGAGGAATAAAGGGAGAAACCAAGGGTCTAAAAGGTTTTGGGATGAAAAGCTAAACAAAATGTTGTTATCATTCTTGAACTACACTTGTTCAAGAACAGAGCACCGTATGGAGAATGCAACATCAGCAAAGCTCAAATAACCATTCTGGACATCATACAACTCAGTTCATTATGGGTATATGCATATCAATACAGAAACTCAAAACCACTATATAGGCAGCAAACATGAGATAATCTAATAACATGCCTTATATATTTATCCTTGCAAACCAACCTTGGACTCTAATAGGGATATCTCAGAGCGAAGCCGGTCTCCCTCCCTTTCTAATAACTTTATTCTTCTTGCTTCATTGGTTAGCCTCTCTGTGAGCAACCTTATTTCATTATGCTGACGATTACTGACTTCTTTTTGTTCACACAAATTGCTCTCCAGTTCCTTTATACAGTTTTCCTTCTCAGCAAGTGATGATTCAAGCTTCTGTCCTTGTAAAGCAAGAAAGAAACACAGACCATCATGAGTATCTGCATGAAAATTTAAATAAAAACAGGAATTGTGTTCCACAACCTGAACAAGAATTCCACTGACTGTTCCTGCCCCTGCTTCAACATTCTTGTGCTTTGCCAACTCATCAACATCTTTTAATTGATCTCTTTCCGCAGTAACAGCAGAAAGCTGCAATTAAGAACTTATAATTTGTAATCTAAATGAACAAAGAGAAAACAACAAGATGAATATTTGAAGTTAAACAATACTAAAAGGAAAAAGATGGGTTCTCAGCAATGCCCTGTAGCAGACTAAACAAACATTGTTGGATGAAGGAGCAGGAAATAAGTGCACAACGTATTCTGATTTCTGACGGCAAGTGGCCAGTTCTCCTCAACAACTTCTCTCCAACATCTATAGCACCCCAAAATTTAAAAGCAGCTCTCAGAAAGTTTTAACTTCTCTCGGAAGGTATTAAAAGAGCAGTTCACACAATGTTAATCTGGAATTTTAGGAACCTAGCCAGCAGTAAACTAAAAATTGACGCTAGGCGTGGGAAATAGCAAAGAAGACAACATAGCCACAGTTAAGAATTGACATAGCAGACCATAACTGGTAATATGATCCAGCATGATGAATAGATGTCAGATGAGCAGTCACTATCAGAATCTTGAAACTAGACAAGGACCAATCACAGACTGAACTATCAAAATGCTAATTGCCTGATCAAAAAGTAAAAAGAAAAAGACATTTCTCATATACTTAAAGAGAGAAAAGACGATAATACAACTCAAATTCAATTCTTTCCCAAAAAAGAGAAAAACAAATAAACAGGTTTGATTAATTTCCAATAAAAAAAATGAAGTAAATGAACTTCAGACAATTTTTAATTACCTGCATGCCAATATTTGATAAGAACATTTATCTCAATATGATGAAGGGAAAGGTGAGGCCTTTACCTGGATCATGACTGGGAAGGGCGATTACTCACCAACTGGAATGAGAAACCTATTTCTGACTCTTTATACCACTTAGGCAAATGAAGTCCCTTCTTTATCTTACTAGTTTAGTTTGTGTAAAAAGTTCAGCCACGGTTATGAGAAAGACAATACAACTAAATATTTCATACTTGTAATTCTAAATTTCATACTTGTAATGCTAAATATTTCATAGTTGAGCACAAGCCTTACCTATACTCTGAGATTAAACAACTACTTGTCTAATTTACCAAGAACATTTTCTAAAATTCCTCGCTCTTTATCCGCCAGCTGATATTTTCAATTATGGGTAGACAATGGCTGCTTATACACACTTGCACACTTCTGAAAAACTTCAACGAGCAACAGTAGAGACACTATTGGTTCAGAAGGTTTGGAAGCCAAAAGTCTGTGTTGGTGCAACTTAATCCCAATACCCTTGATAGTTGGCCTTCATGCACCGCCCAAGGGGACAAGTTTGGTCAAATCAACCAATTTATCTGATTAAAGAAGTCAGATTTGGAAAACTGAAAATTTATCCAACAAAAGCTTGACACTTCACCACACTAAGCAACCATATGTTGAGCTGCAAGGCTCCGCAACATTCAGAAGACAACCAGCACAAAATGAGAATTGGTTCACATAGCTGGTGACACACCAACCACTGTCCTATGCAATGGAAGAAACATCACTTTCCATCACATCACTGACCCCTTTTGTGTATGGTAACCAACAACTTATCAGTTAGAACAATGAAATCTATGTCTATGTCAATGAAGGTGCCTTGTGAGTTTTTAAAGTTCCCTGAGAACAAGCAAGATGATGGTACGCCAGTGAGTATTGGAGTCGGTTTTTAGGGTGACGATGATTCATCTTGTAAAGTATTCATCGTCGACATAGGTGGTTGCTTGACAGTTCCACGATGTGGTCATTGCTGATGGCGGTGGTTGGGCAAATAAAGTGATGAGGTTCACTATTGACAGTGTTTGTTCTTCACAGTGTTATTTAAGGCGTAAAGCGAACCGAAGCGACCAAGGCTCCTAACGCCTAGGCGAGAAGCGAAGCGACACGCTTTACCGAAGCAAAGCGAACAGTTAAAAAAAATATATATATTAGTTTAATTACTTCTAAACAATCTAAGTTCTAATTTTATATATACTAAATATTTAAATGCAAGTAAAACCATAAACATTTAAATTAAAACAAACACTAATAATATCTCAAATCTTAATAACAGTCATAACTTAAACATTTAAATTCAAACAAATACTAACAATTGTATACATTTTCATATTGACAGGGTAGGACAACAAAAGAAGCAGAATTAGTAACAAAAAAAAAAGAAGCAGAATGAGGATAAAATAAAACAAAAGCAACACAGGACAGCAAAACCGAAACAGCAACAGAATCAACAAAAAAAAATAGAAGCAGAATGAGCTAAAAAAAAAAACAGAAGCACAATGATCATGACAGGAGCAGAATCAATTGTAAACAATTTCATATGTAATTATATACTGAATAAAAAAAACAGAACAGAGGCACATTTCACATGTACTAAAATAATTAAACATGGTATAAGCATAGACCACTTTTTGGTACCATTTGTATATATATAAGAAAAGAGAAAAGTATAACCAAGACATATCAGAGACACTTCTTTGTAGAAGAATCTATTATTTACCCCCATTCCTGATACTCCTGCTTCCTTTTTTTATCATAATTGTCATGCAGTCGCCTGACTCTCACATCCCACAAATATTCTAAATGAATTCAGCAACACAAAAAAAAAAAATGAATGTGTTTTGTTCGAAACATTGTTTATTAGAAAAAAAAAAATAGACCAGCAACAGTCTAAAAAAAAAGTCATTAGTAATTAAAAAATAAAAGAGTCTACTAACCAGTAATCAGAAAAAAAAAAAAAAAAAAAAAAAAAGTGAAACAGAATCGCCTTTTATAATAAAACGTTTCGCTTTTTCGCTTTTTCTCGCTTTGCCTGGGGTCCTTCAGGCGAGATAAGCTCGCCTCGCCTCGCTTCTCGCCTAGGCGAGCTTTTCAAAACACTGGTTCTTCAGTTATGGAGGTTTAGCATTCTATATGAGAAAGAAGTGGAGAGAGAGAGAGCGACAGAAGTATTCATGGTGGACGATGACCAACACCAATTGTCGATAATTTGGTCTGAAAAGATGCAGAGGAGAATAAAAATTGTTCTAGAATAAAATATCATACATTCTGGAAATGCAACCCCACTTGATAAGTTGGAAAAGTGGTTTGCATAAGGATAATTATTTTTCAAAGGGGAGGCAACTAGCACAACCCTGATGTAGGGGACATTAACATTCCCAATATTTAGTTAATTGATTTCCACATTGACTCTGTAACCTCAAACCCAACACTTTGCCGCCCTCACATCCACACCTGGACTCACAATGCAAATTGTCAATTTAGGTTGGACTGCCATGTCATTTGAAAGCATTCTATCCACTTTGGTCTTCCTTAAATACACGTGTTACAGTAGTAGGAACCTAACTTATCCGTTGTAATTCCAATATATTTACATTCACTTACTTAATATCATGTAAAATCTACAAAATGCATTATATTTCTTAATAAATTCCCTGAAATTCCTTCTGAGGTGTAATGTTCCACCACCCAGCAAATAAGATGCTTATATCCATTTTGTATCTCTGTACTTTTCAGAGAATCCCAGAAGAATTATGAAGTGTCATCCATAATATCCCAAAAAGCAGCTCAACCAGATTATTTGAGAGGACGTTACCACAAACCTCCTCATCTTGGATCATTTCATAAAATATAGCACAGGCATAATCAAACTTTGATAAATGAACCGAGAAGCTGCAGCTAAACAGATTATCGTAAGCAGATAACGCTATTTCATGCACCCACGCAACTAAAAAAATTACAGAGAAAGTAGGGTGCATGTTCATTACACGAGACCCCTGGTGATAACAATTATCACAAACCATGAAAAAAGCAAAAAGCCCCTACCCACATTTTTCACCTAATCAATCCCTGTCGTGTCATTTTGGTAAAGCCTTCCGTACAAAATTGGAAGGATAGAGAAAAAGAACTTCCACGCAGACAAAAGGTAAACAAGGTATCGTACAGCATGAAGAACAAAAGCATATCAAAAATCGAGCAAACAACAAAAAGCTATGCAGCACTTACCATCAATTCAATCCTCTTAACCTCTGATTTTGACAATTCTGCCTTCTCTTTTGCAAATACAGCTTCAGACTCGGCATTTTGTTTACCTAGTTCTGCCGCTTCCAGAGCCACCTCCATTTGTTTCAAGTGTGCATTGGCCTCACCCATCTTCATCATATTATGAAGTACTTCTCTGCATTGCAAAAGCTCAACAATATAGAAAACTTACAAAACCCACAGAAATCAATCTTCCTGATACAAATCAAAAGGCATGATAAAACAAGTGACAACTGCTTCTCCTTTTTTCTACAATGCCCGACTTAAAAAACAATTTGTAGGCAAAAAAAAAAAATACTAGGCTCAGGCTTCGCTAAATCAATCTGAATGAAAACACAAAGCTATACTCTATCTCAACTACAGAGCATCATTCCCTGTTTGTATCCAGCTCAAAGTATTAGCCAAGCTATTCACCCGGGTTCATTGCCTCAGAGTTATTTAATTCAAGTTACAATTTTTTGCAGCCACCTGTTCAACAGTAATTTGTTAGAAGTACTCTAACTTAACATTTCGAATCAAACAACTGCGGGTCTTAAGTCAAAAGCTTGGTGACTTTTCAGACCAGCCACTTGATCTCTTAGACAAGCAACAAATCTTGTCACATGCCTGCTGTTTGTCAAATGAAAGCCAATGAAATTTCAATTTAACCTCTCCAACTATCCCAAGAAGTTACTCAATTAACAAGATTACCTACACTCAAGAGCCTAGTATGCCAAACTAAGGTCCATTGAGTTTAGCTCGTGAAATAAAACGGACCACAACTATGTTTGAGTTTGGGTCATTTAAATCATGAACGAACTCTTTGGCGAGCCAATCCTGAGCAGCTTACCAGCCACTCAACTCATTTCACAGCCTAAGAAGTGAACCGCAGACATGTAAGCCAGAAGTATGTAGGAAAGTTAGATACATACTTCTGTAAAGCTGCAAACTTAAGGGGTATATCCTCCGCACTTGACACACCAGGAATGTCTTTCATCATCAACTTCCAAGCAGACAATTCATCCTCCAGCTTCTTCACACTCAACTGGATCTCTGAAAATGCTAGTAGTTCTGACTCTGCCCTTTCTTTGCGGCCCTTTTCCTCCAATAATTTCTCCTTCAATAACTCAACATTTTCACGAGTAGTTTTTAATTTTCTCGCTTCACGAACTTCAGACTCCTGACATTGAGCTAATGTGATTCAATTGACACATCAAACAATAAAGTATAAAAAATAGGAGAAAACTAGTAGCAGCATATCCTCAGGACTGCTTACCCCGATGCATTATTGCCACTTCATAAGGTGTGACCACTGACTACAACCCACAACTTAAATCAGATCAATAACACCACACATTACACTTTATTAACTTTGCCATTTTGAGAAACGAATCTTTTAGCTAATGAATTTAATGCTACAGAACTTGACTCTCAGGTTGATTTTTTTGGTTATATGGGCAGACACCTGTACTGAGATAAATCTTTAAACATTGAAATTGTTCATTAAGAATTCAACACTTTTGGGGCACCATTGAATCTTAAGCATTATGTATGTCAGACACTGAAGGACATCAATCTGCCGTGAGGGTTGAGCCAAGTCACACATCCAATGAGCTGCTCATGTTCAAAAGAATCAAAACTCAATTTCTGTGAGCACTAAGATGAGAAGTCAATAAGCTGCTCCCACCATGGCAGAGTCCAGGGAGGAGAGGGGGGAGGGTTAATTCTATGCAGCTTTATCCCCATATGCGGAGGTTGTTCCCGTGACTTGACGCCCAAGTCACAATGGAGCAAATTCACCATTGTGCAAGGGCCATCCTCAACAATAAAAAAATAGAGCCCCTTTCAGTTGCCAAAGTCTACAGGTATAAGAGCATATCCAAACAATGCTACTTCAGAACACAATATTAGTCTGCAAGCTTTATCGTCAAGATATTCAAGATAGATGCAACGAAAACTATTGGCAGCATGAGCAAGTTCTCCTCCAGCTTCACAGTCCAAAGCCTATAAGCTAGGACTGGAACAGCATAAAGGCAATAAGAAAAAGAACAAACACAAAAGCAATGACAAGAGATAACTAGTGTTTTTGATTAAAGGGTTGAAAGGAGACAGGGAAAGCTAAAGAATAAGTGCTTATATTACCAGAGTTTTGCATGGTTCCTTCAATTCACTGTTGTTGTAGACATCGCAAAATGGCAAAGGCATGTCTCACATAGTTGAGATAATGCTTGAAAGTTTGATTCAAATAATCAGAAAAGGTGTGGCGCAGCATTATTTGCATAAAAATAACCACTTTAGACAGAGAAAATAACCAGTTTCAACCAAATAATGATCCAATGGTGATCTCTTTCCCAATTGAAGTCACAAGTCTATGGCTCCACAAGAACCAAAAATTGTTTGTTGCCTTCAACTTTCACATTGTTATTCAACGTGAGACTAGTAAATTGAAGCAAATATAGAAGTCCAATGATTGCAGACATAGTAAGTCTATTTACAATCATACACCGAAGATGTTACAATTTTTTTTCTTTAACTTGGAGGGATTAAGATAGTCATCCTTGATAAAATAAACAATCCAAATTGAATTTGCCATAAGTGAGTGGGCGATAAGTGTGAAAAATTAATCATTGCATCTAAACATGACAATTATGAACTTCATGAAAAATCTGAAATCGTTTTGTTACAATTCAAAAAAGTCGGATGGTCTAGTTTCATCCCTAATGCTGCTTTTACCAATACCCCACTATACACAAGCATAATAAAAAGAACAAAACTTACATAGTGCCTAAGCTCTTCTTGCAAATGCTTCACCAAAATATTAGTTTCCGTCGAAGGAACGTCTTGAGATGTAAGACTTGATAATTTTTTCTCTATTTCACTTTTCTGGTGCAAGCACTGTAAAGTAAGACAATCAAATCATTTTAGCAGAATTTTATGCCTTTAGAGAGTCATCAGACAAGCTGACACCCAAAAGAATAAATGAAATAAAAAAACTATATATGATCAAAAAACAAACAGGTGTACATATTAAAAAATGGAGATACAGACGTGTGCTTTATTATCTATGCGAAGTGACTTTGAAAGACTAATGCAGCCAATCATCAAAGTCAAGAAAAACACATTTATACATGCAATCATAAACAACCTCCAATATCCACTTGAATGAAAAAGTTGTGCTTCCATCATATGAGACACACATTAAGATGCTGACTAGTGTGTACAGAATAAAATAACTCCAAAAGTCTAGTAACCTCATTAAGCCGGTTCCTGAGCTCTTCCAACTGCTCCTTCAGTAACACTGATTCTTTCTCAGCATTATTGGCTTTTAATTCCATTCTTTCAAGCTGGAAACAGAAAATGTAAAAAACCATTTACAAACTTTTATGACACACAACTACTTTGTGATGCTATAAACAATGAACTACTCACATCTGCAGCTATCCTAGAAACCGAAAATTTTGATTCTCTTTTCAGTTGTGCAAGCTCATTCTGAAGACGACTTTTTTCCCTTTCTGTGCTCTCAGAAAGATGAGTCAGTTTTCCCTCTAAAACACTTGCTTGTTCCTCCACTGAAGCAGCTGAAGACTCGGCTTTCTTGCGAAGATTCATCTCATTTTGGAGCTTTAACTACAAATCAAAGGGCATACAACAAAACATGCATGATAAAATCAAACAATAACAGGAAAAGCAGAAAAAAATAAGAAAACATTATCAAAACAAATCTCTAGCACAATGAAATTAGGCAATTAACTGCATCTCCAGCTACCCTAAGCAGTTTGTTAACAAAGTTATATTTAATTTTCTTTTCCATAACGCTTAACAGGATCGAAATATACGCTTCCACCCCTCTGGAGGGTTGCTGGAGATACCACATAAGCTAACCATTGATAGAAGTATTAAATCATAGCATACCTTCCCATTAGAAGAAGATAGCCTCAGATAATGGCGAAAAAGGGATGCTCACTATAAAGATAGATTGGCACATAGAGAGAGATAGAGATGGAGTGTGTGTGTGTGTGTGTGTGTGTGTAATGATAACCCAATGGGTTTTTTTAACTTTTTCTCCCATTTACTCAGTCCAGTTTTGGATTGAAAATATATGACCAACTTAGGTTGGTTGTGTTCTGAGCTCATTGGCAAGGTTCCAACCCAATTGAGAACCAATTCTCATGCATACAGTGGTTAGTATATGGCTGCTTATGCAATTACATGTCAAGCCAGCGATGTAATCTGTATTCTACTCTTTTTTTTTACTGATTAAAAAAAGGGTGGGGACAAAGGAGAGTGCCCAAAGACCACCCCGATAGGCCTTCACTAGTGAGATCATGAGACCCCTGATCGAGCCTGTTATATCTCTCGAGAACGAACCTAACTAGACTAGTATAACAGTCAACCACTAAACTCCAATGCATAATTATCAAAAGCGTACAATTTGAGATTCGAATCGTACGATTCGGTTGGATATAGGCACAAAACTATTTGTATCTTATACGAAAATCGCTTTAAAGTTGAATCACACCTGAATCGTACGATTCGATTCATATTAAAAGAATCGCACGATTCAGTTACTTTTTTTTTAAAACCCAATTTTTTTGCAAAACAACGTTATTTTGTCCGCTAAACAGTAAAACAACATTGTTTTGTCCGCTAAACAAAAAAACAACGTTGTTTTGTTTGGAGAGAATCCCACGTCCTAATAAAAACTTGGTCTTTTTGCTCGTTCTCTTTCTCGCACGTTGTCTAAAGCTCGCCTTACATTGTCTGAAACTAAAGGTCACAGCTAAAGCTCTTGCATCATCAACTGAAAGAATGCCTCATGCTCCTCCTCTTCTTAATTTTCTTTTTCTTCTTAACAGTAAACAAACTGTATCATATTTGTTTTCTTCTTGTTTTAATTAAATTTTTCTATCTCCTATCACCATATTTCAGAATAAATTTTGATTTTTGCTCTCAATTTTTTTATGGGTAATTTGCTAAGTTCTAATTTTTGTTTCCAAATATTGACTTGTATGGTTTCTCTCAATTGATTTTCTTATTTATTTTTTTTCCATTCATGTTTGTAACCTAATTTATACCGGTGTCACTGTTTTGGTTCTTGAATAGTCATGATTTTTTAATGAGTTTTTTTTTCAAATTGTTGAATTTGAAAATGGTTAAGCAAAAAATGAAAATGAGGTAAAAGACTAGCGACTTTCCATTTAGACGACGCGATTATGTTAATTGATTATTTTTAGAATGGAATAATGTTCAATATTCAATATTTTGTCTAGTTTAAATATGCAGATATTATTTTTTATTTTTGTTTAAATTTTGTGTCGAATCTCACGATTCATGATTCGATACAATTCACAGTTCTCAAATTTAGAATTTCGATTCATGATATGAATTGCGATTTGATAACTATGCCCCAATGTGAATACCCATACTCGAACCTCAACCTCTCGGTGAGAAGTTCGGCCAGTACTCCACTGGACCACCCCACTCGGTGGTGTCTATATTTGACTTAATAAAAAGAATACAAAATGGAGCTTTCTTCCTCATTGCAACTGTTGAGTACCTACTGTCAGCTTTCAGCAACAAGCCTCTCACAGGTTGATAGACAAATATAAGATAGGATATAGATACAGCATGCTAATACTATTTGCAACAGTTTTGGAAGCAAGCCAATAACTAAATGAAGGTTTTCTTTGTTTTTAGACAAGCCTGCAGATACTTCATTTTATGTTAATCATGAGTCTTAAAGCCACTTCACTATTTGTTCCAAGACCAAGAATCAGCAAACACCAACCCAAATTCTTGCTGAGACAACTCGATTCTATGTATCCCATGGTGCAGTTACAGCCTACAGGTTAAGATCACAAACCGATGTTGGCGATCAATTTGGTAACAAACAACCCAACCCCATTGCAACACCAAGACGCTAAAAATTGAACCACATGATAAAGATGCTAGTGACCAAAAAGTGTAATTATATGCTTCAATATATTATATTTACATACAACTAAAGAAAAGAAAAAGGGGGGAAATCATACCACAAGGGTCCAGGTACACAGATGAAACAAGAAATGGTGGCCTTCTAATTTATAGAAATTTTATGCTTCATAAGGTCATGAAAAGTCGTTGCATATTGACGATGATAATACAAGGACAATACTTAGAAACTCCTCCATTACTAATGTATTTTCACCAACCTCAACACTCCATATTCTGCAGCAAGAGGCATGTTTCCTTTTCATATACCAATATACTGATGTTGTTTCACAGGGATAAGGATCAAAGGATAAACCTTTTGAGCCTATCAAAGAAGAATCTAGGGGGTTCTCCAAAAACAATGAAATGTTTCCATCATCATGCTTGCAGTTTCACATTGTATTGGAACTCCCATATTTTATTGATAATTTATTGATAAGAAGCGACATTTTATTACAAGATACAGAGTATGGAAAAAGGATGCAACGGAGGAAAAGACCTCCAACCGAAAACTAAAGGGCATGGAACTAAATGATTTTCACTGATCCATCTCCTAAAAGAAGGATACAATTACAGAAGTATACAGAAGAAATAAAAGAACAGGAAGACTTAAAAAAAAAAAAGGTTAAACCTCAAGTTCGCTGGACAGTTGTATTTGTTTTTTAAGTCGTTCATGAGAGTCATTGACCTCTTTCAAGAGCTGCTCCTGCAGCGCTTGTTCCCTTCCTTTAGCAGCAGCAAGTTCTTGCTCCGCATAGAGAAATTGATCTCGAAATTTTTTGCGCTCGGCATCTGTAACAAGGAAAACTTGGAAGTCATGTTTCAAGCTGGCTTTGATGGATTTTATAACTTGAGAATTTGAAAGCAGATTGAAAAGAAAAAGGCAAGGACAAAAATGGAAAAGCAAGAATATCATTCGACCATTGATGTAAATGTAACATTTCAACAGGATCCTAGGACTTATAAAGGAGTGGTTCTGCAGAAAAAACCCCCATAATTAGCTTTAGCTTGTAACTTAGTTATTAATATGGTATTTGAGTAAGCAAGTCCTATGTTGGAGCCAAATCAACTCCCTGAGAGTATATAAAACAGCAGCGTGCACTCGCACCGCCTCCCTAAAAGATAAAATTCTTTCACATGGATGTCCCATCATGGGAAAACAAAGACGAGGGAGACTAATGAAACAAATAAACAAGTTACAACTTTGTTTATGAGCATGAACTTAAAGAAATGTGTTGTCGATGGTAAGTGTTTCTCAATGCAATGTATATTATGATACACTCATTAAAATCCATTATTCCTGACTAGGGATTAAATCATTGTTCATGGTTCCTCTACTAATGAGCCTTTTTGTGTCACAACCAATGTTACCTGGATCGTGGGTTGCTTTGGCACGTGGTACGGGTACGGATACACAATACAACACTTTCTTAGATACGCGTTAAGATGGGAGTAAGCTTAGTTGGTACGGTATTTTAGATTGCTATTCGTTTTAGAACTCTTATATAAATTATTTTCACTACTATACAACATTATATATTATAGAACATCTATAAACACTAAGTTAGTTACCATTTATTTTATAGTTGTGCTTGATTTTTTATTATCTAAAATAATTATAAATCTATATACATGTAGTCAATTAATATGTATTTTATATTTATTTTATATGTTCTAAAGTAAAGAACGTCTCTAAGCACTAAGTTAGTTACCATTTATTTTATAGTTGTGCTTGATTTTTTATTATCTAAAATAATTATAAATCTATATATATGTAGTCAATTAATATGTATTTTATATTTATTGTATATGTTCTAAAGTAAATTGCTTTAGGGTTATTATTATAATTTGGGGTTGTCCATTTTGGTGATCTGAATCAAAAACCCACCCCGTTTGGGGTCGATGTACTCAAATCGTGGGTTGTCAAGATTTTAGTGAATTGTGGTAACCATGGTCACAACCCTCATTACCATTTCGCACTACATTATACCACTCATTTTCAATAAGGAGTGGAAAAATAAACCATGCCACTACTTTAGTCCAAAATACACACTGAAACCTTCAGCCAAAAATTGATCACATGTCACCCAAAAATATGAAGACTAGTTTTGTTTCTTATTTTTGTATAGGAACTTAGGAAGCAATGGGTTCAACTTTTGTGCTACCTGGCCTTAGTTAACAAATGTAAAAATCTATTTAAGAAACTGTTAAACTGTAGCAGAACCAAAGAAGTCTTCATATTATTCTGCAACAGTCCAATTTCAAAAACTCACCCGTTTTGCAAAAATTGTCATTCAGTTCCTCCAACTTAGATTGATAATCATGTGCTTGTTTCTCTGCACTGCTTAAGGCATCAAAAAACTCTGACTTAACCTGCAGTATTGTCAAGTTATTCCTGGAACCAAAAGCAAAGTTCAACACATAAATGTTTTAAAAAAAAAAGGCACATAGAACACGAAAAAATTGCATCCACTACCCACAATTTGCAACAAAAATTGCACATCATATAATTACGAGAAGGTCAGGGAAATGGGAGTCACTGCAAATAGAATAAGCCCAGAAAAACCTACTAGTTTTAGCTAGTGTTCTTATAATCTGTATCTCGGGTGGTAGATTTTGGTTGTTTGTTCTCCACATGTACAAGGAGCACCCTTTATGTGCTTCAAATGAATATTTGCTGAACTAGCATAATGAAGTTGCTAGGAGGTTTTGGACGCTTGTGTCCTCGCCATTTTGACGCTACATAGATGATGCCAACCACGGTTGTGGGCTCGTTATGGTGTTGGAAGAGAGGACATGGTAGGAGGTGACGTTTGGTGGTTTAAGTGCCACCACTTCATCTATGGCGGAGTATTTGGCTGGAGCAGAACCAGATTAATCTCGGAGATTATGAGGCATCGCTCTTCGAGTTGAAGATAAGTTATTTGGGACTTGGGTACTACTGGTCCTATCAATAACAATCGATGCACAGCTAGAAATTATAACATATAAAAGCCCCGTTTCCAAGACATGTAACTCATTTCACAAAATTAAATTTTGATTGCAGAAAATCACAAAATTGCTTCGAAACCTGAAATAAACTAGCTCAATAAAGAGAAATTCAATGAATCAGTACTTGTAAGTAGAAAACAAGCCTCGTTCATTCAATCTCAAATTGGGAAGAGAAATAAAAGGGGGGTTAGGGTACCATTTGACGACATTGGTAAGTGCAGAGCATTTGGTCGGAAGTAATATGATCATGAGAAGATTCCGGCGCCGTAGGATCCTCGTAGATGACCAAACGGCGATCGGAGTTAGGGCTATCTTCAGGTGGCCTCGAATCGGCCCTTCGTTTTCTAGGTGGTGGTGTCCTCAGCATCATCGTCTCTCCGATACAGATATCCCTAGGGTCTCTCTCTCTCTCTCTCTCTCTCTCTCTCTCTCTCTCTCTGTGCGCTTTGCAAAGAAAGGCTACTTCAAAATGAAGAGCGCCATTTCTCGCTTGTTGGCGTTTGCGCTTAAAATGGAAAGCAATCTCTATTAACATTTTTCATTGTTTTATGATAAAAAAAGAAGAGGAAAACTCAAAGAAGAAAATATTAGGGTAAGCTTCATTTACACCCCCAGTAGCTATTTATATATTCAATGATACCCTATGTATCTTCTGAAATTTCACTGAGGAGTTGTCTACTAACGGTGTTAATGGAGGAGGTCATTTTATATAAAATACCCTTACACATGGGCGAAACTAGCATAGCCCCTTGAATTTTTTTTTCTAAATATTACCTACATAAAAATTCATAAATTTTTATTATATTTGAATTTGTCCACCCTATATTATTTTTCTGTCATATTAATTGATATAAATATCTAAATGACATAAATTTTCAGTCATGCTTCAAACACGTAATGGACATATTCAAATAAATTTTAGACATATTTTTATAATTTTTAGCAAAATTATGAAATTATTTTAATATTTAATAAAAGTTAGGATCATTATGAAATAAATTATAGGATTATTTAATAGGTCTATAATGGAATTAAGAGTCATAACTTAAAATTATAAAATTATTTGGATTTAAAAAAAATAAATATAATTATGTTTTATTGACAAAATTATTTTAATTAGACCAAAATGAGTGATTGAGAGAGAAGAGAAATAAGTAATTAGTGAGGATGTGATTCTCGACTATTTTGTAACCCTCTTGCAACTATTATATTCTCTAGGGATATGTGACTAACCTTTATTTGAAATCCACTATAATAATATTTGACTCTCTTGACACTTTTTGACCAATTTAAAAATTATACTTGAAGTCTACTATAACCATTAAAAGTTTTCAAACCTAGAAAGAAAAAGTGGCCCTACTCAACTAAATTGTTAAAACTACGTAAATATCTATTGACCTATTTATTTGTGACTTTAACATTAATTTTATCAATTGCATTCGAGTATTTTGAGATATAATAAACATAACATAATTTATAATAAATAGGTAATTAATAATTTGAATTAATATAAAATAAAGATATTCTTAATGATATTAATAATTAAGTTAATATATAATGCTTTTCAAAAATATAAAAAAGGTCGAACCGCAAAGATCTTCGTTGTTTCTTCTACAACTAGTCACAGAATTATAATTGGTGGGTGGAGTAGTTATAAGGTTTGTTAAGTAAAGGGAATCTTCAAAAGTTTAAGAAAATATTAAGTCAAGATTTTCACAGTGAAATTTCAGAAGATGCAATGGATGTCATTAAATATATGGATAACAATAGGGGTGTGGATGAAGTTTACCCAAAATATTATAGAATGTTTTTTGAGCCAATTAAACATTATTATTAATTCAACGATTATAATAAAATTATATCATTATGTTAATAAAGTAGATTAAAATTTATTTTATTTTTTACAAAATAACAAAATAGAACCTTCAGAGAGAGGTAAGAAGTATATTATAAATCTTTAAAGCATTTTCAATTGTGACTCAAATTTTTACTCAAATTTAAATTAATATTTAAGTAAAAAGTTTAATTTCATACAAAGAGCTCTAATGAAGAAACAAAAAATTAAAGAAGAAGAAACTCAAATTTAAATAAAGGCAAACCCAAATTTATATGAGAATAAAGATAACCATTGAATCTTTAAAAGATAGGAAAATCTCATCTTTGAAGATTTGGATAAGAATTTTAAGTCTCCCATAATTTGAGTAAAAAATTGAGTCTTCTTTGATTTATTATAAGTTTGAGTCAAATGTTAAAGTAAGTACTGTAATTTGTAGGATCAAGCAATATGTGCCCTACTCTTTGGGTGTGTTTGGGTAATGGGGTGGGATATGATAGGTTTTCTTTTTCTATATCCTACCCCCATCAAAGTCAAACTCACGCATCCACTTTAAAACCATAACCCAAGATTATATCAAATCTTAACCTTTATTTGGGAAACAAAAATATAATTCAGTGGACCCCATAGATTACACAAATAATTTTGTAATAGTTTACCATTATACTCATGACTATATTCATTCCAATCCAAACCAATCATATCCTATGTTTGGTTAATCCATCCAAGCTGAATAAAATTATATATTTTCCAAATATACATAAAAACATATAAAAATAAAGAAAGTTATATATATATATATATATATATATATATATATATATATATATATATATATATATATATATATATATATATATATATATGATGACAATGAGAGAAAGACAAACAACCTTGCCTTAAAACAATATGATAAAGCAACCAAAACAATGAAAATATAAAAGTAGTCTCTAAGACTTGACTTGAAAAAAAAAACCCAATGCAGCAACAAATGCTTGATTACAAAATCTCCTTTTAACATACATTAATACATAATAACATAATGTTTTTTTTTATTTTTAAATAAATCAACACTTTATTTCATTTGCCCAAAAATTACAAGAATCAACCCCCATTTATCAGTCATGGAAAAATACAAAGAATCAAAGAATTACAATGTCCTTCCTAAACGCCTTAACCCCTTCTTGATCCTGTAACATCAGCAGTTTTGCCTGCAATGGAATGACCAAGTCCAGGGGAAAAATCAGCAAACCAAATCTGCTTGACAGCTGAATTTGCCAAAAAATCAGCCAAGCAGTTTGCCTCCCTATACACATGAACCAAACTATTCTGAAAAAAATACAAAAAATGTGTGACGCTCTTAAAATCGGTGGTCCTTTTTCAACCATTGATCACCTAATAATCCATGGAAGTACCCGTGATTGCCACACAACTCAACATCACATCAATAACATTCCCTTAACTTGGATCATCACCCCACACGTGTAACCCATGTACATTATACCATTTGACCAACCAAGGTCCAATATACCACTATTTATCCTCATTTGATGTTCATTTATATCCTTGGAACCAAAGATTCCATCATCCAAAAGTATGGCAAAGCAGTATTAAAGTTTTAAATTTTTGAAAAACCTACCAATAGGTTTTGTCTACTAGAAAAGTTCTACCAATAGATTTTGCCTGATAACAAAGTTCTGCCTGTACGCGAACCTACCAATAGGTTCTACTGGTAGATGTTGCCCACTGGACAGCAATCTACCGGTTGGTCTTGTCTAGATTTGGCTGTTTCACCTGTTTTTTATTTTCAATTCATTTCAAACATATTATTTCCATCCAAAACCTACCTGAACTCATATAACACTATATTTGCACTTCAAGCATAATTCATACTAGTTCTTTAGCAATCATTTACATACGATTACATACTCAAACACATAAATTTTCACAATGTTTTACAAAATATGGAGTAAAGGCCACAAGTCGGCCTCTCTTCATCCTCGAGGCCCCGAATGAGCGTCATCCACCGATGTATATTTCGCACCTGAAATTTTTTTCCCATATAGAGTGAGCCACACTCAATAAAGTATCCTCTACAGAGGCTACTCCCCCAACGCTGATGCATATGCAATATGCGCATGTACAATCAACAAGCATCATCCATTCTAATTTAGTATATGCAATTCCATGTTGAAATTCTACCATGTCATACCATAAAATGAGATGAGACTCACTCATGCAATATATCTTGAGCCTTTCTAACTCCCTTCACCCCATGCAATGCTACATGTATGAAAAATCTAGGGCATTCCAAGCCTCCGTCATTGATGTTTCACATCGAATGACTATTTTATAAACAAGTTCATGTATCTTTATGTAACACCCCCCCCACTACCCAGCAGGATATTGTCCTCTTTGGCACAGGGTCACGGAACACCGTTCTCCTCCCCTGCCCTCAAGGGTTTGTTCCTCCCAGGGGTTCCCTGGGAAAAGGCCTCTTGCAAGGTAAGGGCTGAAGGCTTACTTATAAGCCCAGCAACTCCCCCCTCCGTAACCGATGTGGGATACCAGGATCTCACAATCCACCCCCCTCAGGGCTGCACGTCCCCGTGTAGCTAGGTCACGGACTACCGTTCTCCTCCCTCATACACGCTGACCCGTGCAGGGCCCCACACTCGGCACCGCCAAGGGGTCGGCTCTGATACCATTTGTAACACCCCCCCACTACCCAGCAGGATATTATCCTCTTTGGCACAGGGTCACGGAACACCGTTCTCCTCCCCTGCCCTCAAGGGTTTGTTCCTCCCAGGGGTTCCCTGGGAAAAGGCCTCTTGCAAGGTAAGGGCTGAAGGCTTACTTATAAGCCCAGCAACTCCCCCCTCCGTAACCGATGTGGGATACCAGGATCTCACACTTTATTTGGGTATTTGGATTCTCGGAGTCTTACCGCCGGTTCTGCACACTGTTACACTTTTTCGGAATTGCACCTCAGGAGAGTGTATGAACCAAGTAGCGGGTCTTGCACCCGAGGACGTGTCTAGCCCTTCTTGTCATACCCGACACAAGTTTTTCATGCAACATGTGACTAAGTCAGATATTCAATCTAACATTTTCGAATCCACCCATCAACTACCAAGTGTGGTGTTTGATTAAACCATGTACACACACACCCACACTCATGCATAAATGCCCATGAATGTGATGTCAACTTCATACCCAAAATGCAATGAATGTCAAATGAGCAATTTAACCGCACATCAAAATATCTCATGACAATGTATATCTTAAGCATATAATTACCACAGTTTATCATGGTGCTAATATATTAACAACATGCATCAAGAATAATTCACAAGTATGTTATCACACAATCTATGTCAATAACATACTTTATTCACAAATGCATAATATAAACACATAGCATGCCCATATAATACCAAATTTCATGAAATTACACAAATAATTTCCACATATTAATTTCAAGTTAGGAATTTATTTTAAATCATTCTATACCAATTTTCTCATTTTCATAGCAATA